ATATATATATATATCAGGACCAGGACTCCAGACTGCAACCATTTTTTCTGCCTGTGCGACTAAATTTTGTGAGCGGTCACACTGGCGACCTTTCAGCTCATAAGCGCTGCCATTTTTGTTGCATATGAGAAACATCAAACGACAAACGAACCTGAAAGCATAACGAAACCGCGCTACGCTTAGAGAGTAGAGCATGGTTTATACTCGCCACGTCAGCAGGAGTGCAAAGCATAAATGACGCGAATATTGAGGAAATGATGGCTGGCTTTCAAGCTAAAGTAAAGTAAAACAATAAAATTTAATTTAACTATTAAAAAGGAGTCGAGAAAAATTTAAGTGGAAAAAACGGAATTTGGAAAAAAATAAAACGGAATTGATACATTAATTGTGTTTATTATATATTTTTTTATTAAAGTGGAAATCAGTTTACTAAATAATGTAAACTTGACTGACTGCTTCACTTCCACTTTAAAGGGATATTTATGTTGTTTATTATTTATTTTTATTTATACTATTTATAATTTTACATGTTGGTATTCTTGTGGGACAAAAACATGCAAGCACTGTCACCGACAGCAAGTTTTACTTTTCTTTTTGTTTTCATTTTGAAAAGCTTGTTATCTTTGCTGTTTACCTCACGTTATGCTATGGAAGCTCTCTTTTATTTTTTTATTTGATTTGATTCCTCAGGGTTTGCTAAACATTCTGTAATTTATTAGTCGGTATATAATACAGCATGTGGTGTTTGCCATGCCTCGTCTTATTCGTTTTTATTAATAAACGTTGTGTAAGCTCGTTTGTCATTGTATCTTACTGTTTTATTGTTGTTGTGCTTTTTAATTAAGAGTAACAAAGAATCCATCTTTTGTCTTAGTCTTAAAAAGTGAAATATGTATAGATGTATCATCTGCAGTGGGTACGGAAAGTATTCAGACCCCCTTAAATTTTTCACTCTTTGTTATATTGCAGCCATTTGCTAAAATCATTTAAGTTAATTTTTTTTTCCTCATTAATGTACACACAGCACCCCATATTGACAGAAAAACACAGAATTGTTGACATTTTTGCAGATTTATTAAAAAAAAAAAACTGAAATATCACATGGTCCTAAGTATTCAGACCATTTGCTTTTTGATCTAATACAGCCATGAGACTTTTTGGGAAAGATGCAACAAGTTATTCACACCTGGATTTGGGGATCCTCCGCCATTCCTCCTTGCAGATCCTCTCCAGTTCTGCCAGGTTGGATGGTAAACGTTGGTGGACAGCCATTTTTAGGTCTCTCCAGAGATGCTCAATTGGGTTTAAGCCAGGGCTCTGGCTGGGCCATTCAAGAACAGTCACAGAGTTGTTGTGAAGCCACTCCTTCGTTATTTTAGCTGTGTGCTTAGGGTCATTGTCTTGTTGAAAGGTAAACCTTCGGCCCAGTCTGAGGTCCTGAGCACTCTGGAGAAGGTTTTCATCCAGGATATCCCTGTACTTGGCCGCATTCATCTTTCCCTCGATTGCAACCAGTCGTCCTGTCCCTGCAGCTGAAAAACACCCCCACAGCATGATGCTGCCACCACCATGCTTCACTGTTGGGACTGTATTGGACAGGTGCCTGGTTTTCTCCACACATACCGCTTAGAATTAAGGCCAAAAAGTTCTATCTTGGTCTCATCAGACCAGAGAATCTTATTTCTCACCATCTTGGAGTCCTTCAGGTGTTTTTTTAGCAAACTCCATGCGGGCTTTCATTCTTTTCTTGTAAAACGTGACAAGATCGCGAATTCGAAAGTGAAAGCATCCGAAGACCGGCTTATAACACAGAAAAAGAGGAACTCCCGTTCACAAAATTCAAATCACAAATACCGAAGAAAAAGAACAGGTTGAATGTTAACCACTTTCGTTTCCATATAACTATAAACTATGATAAGTTCATCAGCATGCATTGATTAATACCATGTTGTAGCAAAAAAAAAAAAATGCGACCAAATCATGTGCTCATGCGACCAACTGAGAAAGTTATTTGCAAAAGAGCGACCAGTGGGAAGAATGAGTCTGGAGCCCTGTATATATATATATATATATATATATATATGAGAAATTGTATTTCAGTGCACAAACAATAAATAAATTAATTAATTAATTAATAAAATGGTATCAACTGCTTGATGGATGAATATATCATGTCTCAGAGGAGACGAGACAAAAAATGCCGAGATAAAATAAACAAAAAACATTTAAAATTATATCTCAAGGTTTGTAGTATTGCTGAATAGTCAAATGTAAAAATAAAATGCTGTATACTTGTCTTCATTGTGTGAATTAAATATTTTTATTAAAGCTACAGAAATTATTAAGTCAAAAGCAGTGAGTGATGGGGTTTATAAGGCTGCTGTCAGTTTACAGGGGACCTATTATGCAAAGTTCACTTTTACATATTTTTTTATGTGTCCGAGGTGTGTATACACAGCCACTCTATTATGGTAAAAAAAAAAAATCTCCAAAAAGTTGCTGTGTCCCAATTCACATACTATCCATCCTAAATAGTATTTAAAATTAGAATTAGTGTGTCCCAAATCATAGTATTATTTGAGTAATGTGTATCCAAAAGGTTCCCGGATGGTTTACTATTTCCAGTGGAAATTTAGAAGTGCAGATCTAATATTGCTCACAACCCACTGCGTAGATTCAGTTAATATCGAAACGTCAAGAAATCAATTTTTTGTCAATCAACTTTTTGTACTGAAGTATGAAGTTCACAAAGTCTCATGCAAATCTAAAGGTTCTTCACATTGTGACTGAATTACACAAAGTAAGTAAATACTGTTGTTAAAAGTTCATTTTATCTGCATGTCAGTGCTTCACATGTGCATTTCCAAGAAATAAATATGTAATATTATTACTAACTGCACTTGTTAATGCAAACGAGCAGCAATTTAATGATTAAATGAATTTAATGATGTCTTTATGATTAAAAAAACAAACAAATTCCCCACCTTCCCCACCCAGCACTACCAAATCAGGTACTGGGGCCACGTTTTGGCAAATTGGTGACCTATTCGTACATTTTCATATGATCTGCTTACTCCCCAGTGATAGCTATGTTTAGGGGTGGACCTTCATGCTTGCTTTTTGTCTAAAATGCTAATTTATGATTAATTAACATGAAAACGCCACCTTGTAAAATGGATACAGTACGTTTTCCAGTGAGATCGTGCTGATTTTCTCACAAAACACAAGTTTGGCATAAAACCTGCTACAAGTAAAATTTCTCTGTTGTTTGATTTTCTGTGTTGATTTTTATTTTAAAAACTGATTCTAATTCAAATTTAAATTCCCATGAAGTAAAAGTGAGCCAGTTTTAGCTGACGCGGGGCTCAGTGCGAGGTAGGGAGCGGGGCCCCCCTTGGTCCGTTGGGGGGGGGGTCCGTTCACCGTGCACCACTTGCACCCCCCTAAGGACGGCCCTGCACGTAGGCCTATATCATGTTTTGGCTTACTTACCAAAGCATCTTAAAAAAGAATTTTATTACACTATGTATATTTCATCTCTCACCGAGTAGATGAGCTGGAATTGGTCCTTTAAGGTTGATTCGTTCTGGTCCGTATTTCTTGTACAGTGCCCTGCGCACATAAGCATGAACGTTGAGGTAGAGCGGTTCTAGATCTTTCCACAAGGCTTCCAGATCCTCTTCAAAGGTGGGGGTCTCATACAGAGAACGCCAGAATGCCCCATTATCCGTGTGACCTGATATTAGATATACAATCAACATTAGAGCTTCATTCAAAGCTCTCAGGAACTATTCTTAATGTGAGTCAGTGTTTATTGCCACTTGGAGTAAGTTTGTAAAATGTGGGCTGAAAATTAAATTCACAGAAAGATATTAAATGTCTTTCTCCAACTGCCCCGTGTTGCAAGAGATCCTCTTACAAAAAGTGTTTTATTTTCAGGCACTTACTATTGCTCTTTGCAGCTAAATTGGCAAGCTCCACATATCTCTTGTAGCTGCTGCGGAGCTCTCTGCCCGAGGCATTACGCCAACCCTGCCAGGCGAACAGCAGCTCGTCATAATCCCTGGACTCGGCCATGATCTTATTCAGATCTGGAAAACAAAACACAAACACATCAAAAACAGCATAAGGGGTTATAGTAATCAATTTGGCAGGCTGTGATATGAAAAACAGACTCTGTAAGCACTTTCATTTTTCACTGTTCCACTACAAACAGTTTGTGGTTAGCATAACTAACAAAAGACAGAAAAGGCCACAGTGAGTTTTTGCACAGCGTGTGCATAACTTTTAAAACTTAAAAAAAAAAAAAAATCTTGTCTAAAAGTGTTCAAATTGTTCAACATTTTGAAAGCCTCTTCTGATCACCAAGGCTGCATTATTTGATCAAAAATAAAACAGTATTGTAAAATATTATTACACTTTAAAAGAACTGTTTTTTTATTTTAATACATTTTAAACTAGAATTTATTCCTGTTATGCAAAGCTGAAATGTTAGCCCCTTTTACTTTAGTCTTTTTCCTCTTTTTGAAGGTGGTGAAAACACTGTTGTGGGCTATTTGACTAAATGGAAACACAAAAACTATATTTCTCCCATGTACAACTATAGAACCCAGAAATGTGAAAAAGGTCAATATGCTAATTTGCTGCTCAATTTTCTATTATTATCAATGTTGAAAGCAGATGTGCTGCTTAATATATATTTTGTGGAAACTATGATACTTTTTTGGTTAATAAAAAGTTCAAAAGAACAGAATTTATTTGAAATATATCTATTTTGTAACATTCTTTATTGTCACTTTTGATCAATTTAATGTATTCTTGTTAAATAATAATAATAATAAAACTTCACCCAAATTCTTGAACAGTATAGAAAAATGAATAAACGTGAATTCACCTGGATCTAGAGGCAGACAAGTTGATTGATCCTTGCAGACTGTGGCTACACTGTACAGGGTCTCCATGGATGCTAGCAAATTATTGTACTATGAACATGAAAAATATATGAGAAGTCAAAATGTAGTCTTTCAAAAAGTTTCAAGTTCAGCTCTAACAAAAACAACTGTAACCTGTTGTAAGTTACCACAGACAAAAATGTAAAAAAAAAATGTAAGAGTCAAAAAGAGAAAATGTAAGTCACCATATCTATCTGTCTGTCTGTCTGTCTGTCTGTCTGTCTATCATCTGTCTGTTTGTCTTACCTCTATAAGATCATCTTCAGAAAGTGCAGCTCTCTCAAGGTCACTCAGTTTGGTCAGGATTCTTTTCACCGACTCGTCCTGGAAGTCGCTGGTGTCGAACTTACGGGCCTCTAGTCCATAGATCTTTGTGTGGTTGGCCATCTCCAAGTTTTTTTGCAGCTAAAGCCAAAAATTGCAGCATGAGACTCTGAGAATGAGTGGTGTTGTAGAATAGAGAGCAGGCCGGGCCTCACCATGATCTCCTTGTTGGCTTCAGTGATGTCAGTGTTGTAGGTCCAGGAGGCCTCGGTGTAAGAGTTCCAGACCTCCTCCGCTGTGCTGTTGTATTGCTCTAAGAACTGCTTGGCCAGCATCTCATCTGTTATTTTACCTGAGGCATTCAAAAAACACGAGAATGAGTTCTGCTCGTTTTCTGAGAAGGCATTGTAGGCCTAATATAAAAGGTAGCAGCATTTTAAAATATCAAAAACAGAATCGGAAAAAATAAATCGAGGCTGATAAAGACAAAATCATGTCTAACTTTTACATCAAAGAGAGAAAAATAAAATCATCCCTATGGAAAAACCATGCGCAAGTATGTTGAAGTACACTTTTAAAGAGTACTTAAGTTGTACTTAAGAGTACTTATTAAATGCAAGATTACTTAAAGGTGAAGTTTGAAAGAGTTTTTTTTTTTTGTCAAACTACATTCCCTTAACCCAGTTTATTGGGTTTTAGTAAATAGTAAATGTACTGCTATAATGGGTTTATCACCCTCAAAGAAATTAGTATTTGGTTACAGAAGTGCATGTTTGCAAAGGTTGTTTGAAAATATGCTTTATTTTTGTAATTCCGCTATGTGACACTAAGGATATAATTTGCTTTTTAACAATATACTTAAGCGCAGACTTAATGTGATGTTTTTGGATGCTTCATTGCATGTTCATTTCAATTAATTTAAAACGTATTATAGTTTAGATATTATAATAATATTACAAATATTATTAAAACATAATGACTTAAAATGTACTTTTAATTAAATTATACTTATAATTTTACACTATTACAAAGTGCACTTTTTAAGAACTTTAGTCATGAAAGTGTATATTCTTTAAGTACACTTAAGTGGCATTTTATTTAAAGGGATACTCCACCCCAAAATGAAAATTTTGTCATTAATCACTTACCCCCATGTCGTTCCAAACCCGTAAAAGCTTCGTTCGTCTTTGGAACACAATTTAAGATAACCGGGAGGCTTGTGACTGTCCCATTACCTGCCAAGTAAATTACACTGTCAAGGTCCAGAAAAGTATGAAAGACATCGTCAGAATAGTCCATCTGCCATCAGTGGTTCAACCGTAACGTTATGAAGCGACGAGAATACTTTTTGTACGTGAAGAAAACAAAAATAACGACTTTATTCAACAATCTGCCTTCTGGTACTGGTGGCACCCAATTAAAATCAGGCCAGCCCAGCATCTCTCCTGTTTTCGCATTCTGTTCCTGCAGCCAGGTAGTAACTGGCTCAAAATAGCTCATCAGGGGGCTGGCGTCCATTTTGTCAGTGCCCAGAGCCTCTTGTAGCACTTCTGTCCAAGGCTTTGAAGAACCAGCCTTCAAGACTTTCCTTCCAAACAGAATAAAGTAGCACTTAATCTCAATGTACATATTTTCCGTTCATCGTGATGATACAGTGGTTTCATTCAAACCCCCGGCAGTCGCACTTTAAACTCAATACATACTCTAAAACAGCTCCAGCCTCTCTTGATCTGTAGATATCGCATTTGTGCAGAGGTCCGGTATGTCCAGCCGCCTGACATAATTTCTGATGGAACTGGAACTGCAGAATGAAGCTCACAAAGTATCTACGAGAGGTTAAATGAGAGAGAGTAGTTATCTTCTCTGTGTACATCATAAGTTTGATTATTGATTGCTAATATAGCACGGGCAGCTCAAGGTGATAAGCCCACCTGATGTACGGTGTGTTTCCAGGAATGTGATATTTCGCTCCAGCATCAAAATGCTCCTCTGTACGTCTGGTTGGTGGACAGATGCCTTGGTATTTTGTCCTAATAAAAGGAAAAATATTCATATTCAATTCAAGAAAGTACTGTTGGTTTACATTTAAATACAAATACCTTGTCTTAGTTGACTGACAGCATAAAAAAAAAACCCCACCAAAATGTAAGGAGATTTAACTTGTATTTACACTCCTATTCAAAGGTTTGGGGTTGGTAAGATTTTATTTATTTTTTTATGTTTTAAAAGAAGTGTTCTAAAACAGCTCCAGCCTCTCTTGATCTGTAGATATCGCATTTGTGCAGAGGTCCGGTATGTCCAGCCGCCTGACATAATTTCTGATGGAACTGGAACTGCAGAATGAAGCTCACAAAGTATCTACGAGAGGTTAAATGAGAGAGAGTAGTTATCTTCTCTGTGTACATCATAAGTTTGATTATTGATTGCTAATTTAGCACGGGCAGCTCCAGGTGATAAGCCCACCTGATGTACGGTGTGTTTCCAGGAATGTGATATTTCGCTCCAGCATCAAAATGCTCCTCTGAACGTCTGGTTGGTGGACAGATGCCTTGGTATTTTGTCCTAATACAAGGAAAAATATTCATATTCAATTCAAGAAAGTACTGTTGGTTTACATTTAAATACAAATACCTTGTCTTAGTTGACTGACAGCATAAAAAAAACCCCCACCAAAATGTAAGGAGATTTAACTTGTATTTACACTCCTATTCAAAGGTTTGGGGTTGGTAAGATTTTATTTATTTTTTTATGTTTTAAAAGAAGTGTCTCATTGTCAGCAAGGCTATATTAATTTCATCAAAAATAGAGTAATCATTTTAATATGCTAATTTACAGCTCAAAAAACTGTTATTATCACAGTTTAATATTGTTGTGGAATACAATCTCTCTCTCTCTCTCTCTATACTGTACATGTATATATATTCCAGGAATCATTAAGTAATAAAGTTCAACACTATAAATGTCTTTACTGTCACTTTTTTTCCTTTCTGAATAAAAGTATTCAGTAAGCAGCAAAAAAAAAAAAAAAAAAATGGATGCTTCATAAAAAGGTAGGTTACCTAAGCATAACTATCATGACCTGTTTAATATTAAACAGTTGTGAAAAAGAAGTGCGCTTAATTGAATTAAATGTGTGCTTGTAGTGTACTTCAAGTATATAAAAATATATAAAGTACAGGACATGGATGCTATAATAGCACAAATGATCGATTGCTGACCTCAGTGTTCCATTAGGAGACCCTGTTTTGGTTTGTGTTTCACTGTACCTGAGGTGCCACCATTCTGCATTGTAACGTTCAGGCGGTGTTCGTCCGCTAAACACACCCCAGCGCCACTGATCAATAAGGTATCCAAAAGGAAGGAAGGCGATCTTTTCCAAAGCCATCTTCAACAGGTAGTTGATGTCACTCTCTATGGATTTACAAATACGTCATCATAATGTCATTATTTTAGGTTTACACGATGAGTATCATTCTGAATGTCTTTCTCCTACCAGCATCATCGGTCAGTTGTTCCAGGAGGCCGATAGTGTGGAGATGTTTGGGTGTGGAGACAGACAGAGACAGCACATCCCCTACGGCCTCATGGAAGCCAGGATTGGCTCCTCTCCTGAAGCTGACCGGCTGCTCTTTGTACTGGAGGTAATATTCCACATGGCCCATCTCGTGATGCACGGTGAAAAGCTGCTCCATAGTCACAGTGGTACACTGTTTGATTCTGTCAGGGATCACACATTTTGCTATATTATTTAAGAAAATCTTTGATGGTAATTTGTGTATTTTTTTTATATTACATCTTCCTTTTCCTACCAGTCCCTTCTTATATTTCTATAATAGTTTGAAAGAAAGCATTCATAGGGTGATTCACTTGAAAAGCTTAAGAATGTAGTGCTATTAATCAAATGATTCAGTTTATTTGATAATCCTGACCAATCTGACAGTATGAAATCTTATTTCCGCCACAGCATAAAATAAAATAAAAAAATAATAATATTATTGTGGCTTTTAATCGCACAATTATATTTTTATAGAATTCTATATATCTCAGAATTGCACGTTTATATGCTTAAATACAAGTTACAAAGTCACAATTATGAAAAAACATGAATTATGAGATGAAACAAGTAAAACAAATAAAATAATGAAATGTAAACAAACTCAGAATGTCAGAATCGCAAAATGTAAACTCGAGCAATTAATTTATTACTGCAATTTTGAGAAAAAGTGTTAGAATTACAAATTTACAATGATGAATTCATAATTTGCAATTGTGAGAAACAGCCGTGCATTTGTTGCTGCCGTAAAGCAATCTGTCCTTTTTGTGGAATTTCGTACCCGCTCACCAAACTTACAAACTCCCAAAACAGACATTGGGGAAAGAAACGGAAGCCGTTCGCTTTGAGATGTCGGTGAACCATCAACATGGTTTTTAAACTTACATTTGAAGGTAAAAAACGGACATACAGTTGTTTTAAATTCTGTATTGTTAAAGGGTTAGTTCACCCAAAAATGAAAATTAGCCCATGAATTACTCACCCTCAAGGCATCCTAGGTGTATATGACTTTCTTCTTTCAGATGAATCCAGTCGGAGTTATATAATTAATGTCCCTGAAGTCTTTGGGGTTGTAGAAGTCCCAGGCAGAGGCATGGCAGACCACATCCCTTCCGTCGGTGGGTTTCTCCAGCATGGCCTTGTCCCAAAACTCAGGAGGCATTTCGAGCAAACCCAGAGAGGTGAAGAACTCCTCAGCCACCCGGAACATGTGAGTAGCATTATAACCCTATGGGTACAAATCATTTTATCAGTCTCTGGAGTGCTGAGGATATTATTCACTCATCAAGATATAGTTCTGTTCGCTTACTTTAGCAACCATGGTGTCCATCACATCTACATTGGGCTTGTCAGGAAAAGGGATCATCAGGTTGTAGATGTTGTTCCACGTTTGTGACCACATATTGCCTGAAACACAATGAGAGCATATGATAAAAAATTACAATGTAGAAAACATGAAAAAGTGGTAACAGTTTACTTGAAGCCTGTATGTATAATACCTGAAATTGCATTCATAATGCATTATATTACAAAGTCAGAATTCTGTGATGTAAACTTGCAATTGCCTGTTGATAGCATGCAATTTTGAGAAGAAAAAAAAAAGTCTGAATTGGGAGAGGTAAACTAACAATTCAGAGAAAAAAGGTCAAAATTGCAAAGTGTTAACTCAGAATTATGAAAAAAAAGTAAAAGTCACGAGATGTAAAGAAAAAATTCCACTATATCTCAAATGATGTACTGTGTCTAATATCATGGTGGGAATTAATACCATTTTTAACATTATTGGTGAAAATAACGCTAAATAATAACACTTTTCAATAAGGTCTCATTACTTAATATTAGTTAATGCATTATATCTTTTCATCAACAATTGTCACCAACGTTATAATGCATTATATTACTTGTATACTCCTTGCTACATCTGAAATTGGTTGTTTACTGTTTCAATGCATTATATAGATTTTATAGATACAGATTTTATAATTTAATTTAGGATAGGTTTATAATGTTTTATAACAGCTTTTATGAGATCATACCATGCATTATTAGGTACATAATTAATGCATTAAAAATAATTTTATAATGCATTATATATACAGGCTTCAAGTAAAGTGTTACCAATGTGACAAATTACTTATGCCTCTCTATTGTAAGTTTCTTTGGACAAAAGTGTCTGCTGAATGCACAATTGTACAGTAAATTTAAGCAGTCTGACTCTATTTTCCTGTCTAAGTGGGCGATTTTTGGCCAGAATATATTGAAATGAGGACCAGATTTTATGCTTTATGTCAAAGTCTGGCTTTGTAGTTGCGTAATATTAGTAATAATAAACCATCTTCAATCATTCGCAAATCTGTATTTTTCGCAATCTAACGACTTACCCAAGAGGTGGGCAGGGATGGGACCCTTGAGGTTGATGTATTTAGGACCATAGTAGTCGTAGAGCTTTCGGCGAACAAAGGCATGCAGGTTTTGGTAGAGAGGTTCCAGCTGTTTAAACAGATTCTCTAGGTCTTGCTTGAAGGTCTGAGATTCGTACCAGGAAAGCCAGTAAGCGCCTGTATCGTCAAAGCCTGGGGAGAACAGATAAGAAGAACGGGGCATCAAATCTTTCTTCCCATAATTTACTCACCCTCAAGCCATCCTAGGTGTATATGACATTCATCTTTCAGACGAATCCAAGCTTTATAATGGCAATGAGTGGGTATTTCTTGTCAATAATCCAAAAGAAGTCCAATAAAGCGCATCCATCCATAATAAAAATTGCCTCACATGGCTCCGGGGGGTGAACAAAGGCCTCCTGTAGCGAATCGATCGTTTTTGTAAGAAAAATAACCCTATTTAAAGTGGCCAGAATATATTGAAATGAGGACCAGATTTTATGCTTTATGTCAAAGTCTGGCTTTGTAGTTGCGTAATATTAGTAATAATAAACCATCTTCAATCATTCGCAAATCTGTATTTTTCGCAATCTAACGACTTACCCAAGAGGTGGGCAGGGATGGGACCCTTGAGGTTGATGTATTTAGGACCATAGTAGTCGTAGAGCTTTCGGCGAACAAAGGCATGCAGGTTTTGGTAGAGAGGTTCCAGCTGTTTAAACAGATTCTCTAGGTCTTGCTTGAAGGTCTGAGATTCGTACCAGGAAAGCCAGTAAGCGCCTGTATCGTCAAAGCCTGGGGAGAACAGATAAGAAGAACAGGGCATCAAATCTTTCTTTCTTTATCTTTCTCCCCTCTCCAAGAATTACTCACTCACCGTCCATCCGAGATGCCTTGTTGCTGAGCTCCACAAACTCAGGGTAGAGGGATCTGAGTGGGACCCCTGAGGCGTTGTGCCAGCCTTCCCAGACATACAGAAGCCTCTTATAGCTTCTTGAGGTAGCCATTATTTCTGTGAGCTCTAAAAACACATAAATAACATAAATGCATAATAATTAGAGGAATAGTTAACCCAAAATTTACTCACCCTGAGGCCATCCAACATGTACTGTAGTTGAGTTTGTTTCTTCATCTCCGGAACAGATTTGGAGCAATTTTATGAATATATATTACTCACATTTTTAGCCAAAAGCAGTGGTTTGAAGATAAAAATGTCTGAATGATGGATTTGTTTATTACAAACATGCAGCCTTTCGCTTCACAAGATGTTAATTTGGAGACGTGTGGATTATTGTGATGTTTTTATCAGCTGTTTGAACTCTCATTCTGATGGCACCCATTCACTGCAAAGAATCCATTGGTGTGTACGTGATGGAATGCTAAATTTCTCCAAATCTGTTGTGATGAACAAACAAACTCATTTACATCTTGGATGGCCTGAAGGTGAGTACATTTTCAGGGAATTTTCATTTCTAAGTGAACTATTTTTAATACGAACTCTGCAGTAAAACAACTTCTAGTTCAAGATTTAGGTTATGCTGAGTCTTGCAAATGAGCCCCAGATGAAGAAAGGGCGTTTGTTTACAACTGTGTTCTGGATTTTTGTGGTCCAAAATCAGTGCAGTTTCTCAGGAAGAGCCTTGAACGGAAGCTTTTAGGAGTACCCTTACCAAAAAGTAGTATACTTCAAGTTTATTTTAATAAGTATACTTAAGTAAAGTTCAAGTATATTTTTGTATAACAATGAAAACATGGATTCTAGGAGCACAATTATAGCTGAAATATATTTAGACTTTTTCTAAGTCATTTTAAGTATATTTCTGAGAAGTACATAAAGCCAATTTCTGAGAAGTACATAAAAAGTAGACTAAAAGTATACTTTCCTATTTTTAGTTTAAAAGAAGTATACTAATAGCACACTTGAATAAACTTCATTTTCGTAAGGGTACAGGACACAACACATGTTGATTTTTGCTTTGGATCATTTGACTGGATCCATGAAGTGGAGGACAGGAACAGTAGGCAAGAGTTAATGGACATCAGCTAGAATTTAGTGTTGTGTATTCATACAGAGTCAGATTTACTGCTGTTTGTTTGTGACTTTTTTGGTCCATGTGTATTTGGAGATGGGGAAAAGCACACATCCGCTGCAGATATAAGCAAGTCCACATGTATGAAACACTGTTAGAACAAACATGTGATTTCATCCAAATAAGCAGCTAGTTTGGGATTTTGAATGTTATAGAGATTAATGATGTTGTGGCATGGATGTAATGGTGCACTCTTCGGATAAAAGCAACCTTTTAAGATAAGCTAAACACTTCTAGTGGAATGTTCTGTTCCTCTTCGGCAAAAAACGTAAACCTAACGGTGCTAATGTAAACAAACATTTAGTAAAGTTAATTGTTGAGAGCAAGGCAAGTGAGGTCAAGTGGTGGGGATTTTACAAGAATTCTTTCAGCAGGTCACAAACTTAGATCACACTTTATTTCAAGGTCCAGTTCTCACTATAAACTAAGACTTGTGCCTCAACAAACTCAATAAAATTGCCTCAATTTCCTGCTTCTTTTTTTATTTTTTTTATTTCTTATAACAAAAAAACACATAAAAAAGGGGAAAAAGAACTTAACATCTATTTATGTACTATCTATTTTCCTGTGTATTAACCATTTCGACCAGTTCTTATAAAATGTATCCATACTTAGACTTAGAGAAAAGGACATTTTCTCCATATCAAACATATCCTTTACAATCACTATCCCCTCTTCTTTTGTTGGTGGATTCTCATCCAGCCATTTCTTGGTTATTGCTTTTTTACCAGCAACCAATAACAATCTGAGAAGGTACTTATCTTGAGCATTAAAATCAGTTGGTATGTTTCCTAAATATATAGTACCAAAACTATGATCAATCCCATTGTTTAAACCACACATATGCCACCCATTTTAGCAGCTGTGTTTGTCTTTCCAGTTTCAGAGTTTTGCATTCTTTGAAGTATTAAGAGGAACTAATGTCCAATTGCTTAATTTGTTAGAGTACATAATCTTAGTAGTTTTGTCCCCTAATAAAGAAGGGAGAGGAAAGTCTAGCTGGTTGAATTCTAATTCTTTCCATTTTGCATCATAATCGTCAATACACCAGCAAACTAGATATTTTAATTGTGCTGCTTTATAATAATCCTCCAAACATGGAAGAGACAGTCCTCCCATTTCCTAATTTGGTAATTGTATTGTTTTGAGTCTTACCCTGGGTTTCTGATTTTTCCATATAAATCTTGAGATCATTCTGTTCTAGTCATTAAATCGTTTTTTTGGTATCTCTACAGGTAGTGATTGAAAGAAAAATAATAATCGCGGTAAAACATTCATCCTTATAATTTCTATTCGATTATACAAACTAAAAGTTAGAGGTGTCCAATTATCCAAGTCTGCTTTCAGTTCCTTCGTAATAGATCCATAATTTGAAATATAAATTTTAGCCAAATTCTTTGGTATGATAACCCCCAGGTATTTAATACTGTTTGTTTTCCATTTAAAATTATATTTTTTACGGATATTTTCCTGTGGTGAATAATTAAAAGAGAGGGTTTGGGTTTTGTGTAAATTTAGTTTATATCCTGAATACCAACCAAACTGCTCAAGACAAGACATGAGTTTAGGTAAACTGGAATCTGGCTCGGAAATAGTCATAAGAATGTCATCCGCATACAGGCATATTTTGTGTTCGGTTTCTTTCATTGGAATTCCTAGAATTTCTGTATCTTCTCTAATTGCCTGAGCTAATGGCTCTATGAATAGTGCAAAAAGCATGGGACTCAAGGGGCATCCCTGATGACATCCCCGCTCCAGTGTAATCGAGTTATAAACATTACCATTTATTTTAATCTTGGCTGTTGGTAAATTATATAGCGGTTTAATACTTCTTATAACCTCTTCATTAAAGCCAAAACGTTGCAATACTAAATACAAAAACTCCCATCGCACCGAGTCGAAAGCTTTTTCCGCGTCCAGGCTAATTGCCAGGGATTTGGAAGTATTTTTGCTCATGCTCTCCAACAAAAATAATGCACGTCTCACATTATCATGTGTCTGCCTACTTTTAACAAATCCAGTTTGGTCAGTAGCAATCAAATCAGGAATTATATTTTCTAATCTTTTAACTATTATTGAAGCATATATTCTATAATCTATATTTAACACTGAAATAGGTCTGTATGCGCCGCATTCTGTCTTATCTTTTCCAGCCTTTGGTATCACAGATATAATTGCTTGTTTTCATTTTTGGGTGAACTAACCCTTTAATATTGCAACTTCTCTAGCATGTCCCTTAGTATAGCATGAATAAAATGTGTTTCTAAATCCTAACCTTTTCAGTTTCTCATGTTCAGTTTGTACCAGGTGAGTTTCTTGCCAAAAAATTATATGTTGGTTCTCTTCATCTTTGCTATGAGTTTACCTCATTTGATAGGATTTTGTAACCCGTTAACATTAAGTGATATTATTCTATATTCTTGCTGCAACATTTATGATCATACACTTTCATACTGTAAGCCCTGGTTGACCTTAACATCATAACACATTTTAACACAGCATCGAAAAATATCAAATGTGCAACCAAAAAAAACCCCAGTAACTTCCATGATCCAAGTTTCTTCTTAAGTAACTTCTGTTTGGAAAGGAAAATCTTCGATTTACGAAGGGCCTCCCCAGTGCAATCCGATATTATAAATCAGTGCACTTAGTAGAATAATTCTTCCTAGAACTCCCAGACAAAAACGTTTTTCATTTATGAATCTGTTAAGCTAAAAACTTAAATTAACCCATGATGAAAATAATTTTATCCAAACTCAAGATTCATAGCCTTTGTATGAATATTATCCTTCTTCTATTAAATTATCATTCTGGTTCTGGTTCAATCTTGGCTATAAGTTATTTTTAACTAATTTTACCCTGAGAAAAAAGTCAAATCAGTATCTCCACTGTCCCAGCGGAAATCCTGGAGTTTTTTCCGCGCTCTCTCTTGATGTGTCTCTCGGCTGTGTCATGGCCTTACGCCCGCCGTTTCCCAAGAGATTTTACTCAGCCTTTCCATGGATGCCGATGCGGTGGTATGATCTTCTCTGATGCTGGCCGTTGTCAATCCTTTCTTCTTTAGATCCTCCATCGCCTCTACTGCGCTGTTATAAACAATTGGACCATCTTGGAAAAAAAACGCGAAGCTTAGCGGGAGGAGGTGTCTGGAAACGGAGACCCTTTTCTTTGAGTAGTTTCCTGATTGGCGCGAATGCCTTCCTCTTCTTTTGAGTTTCAGCGGGGTAGTCCTGGTCAAAGTACACTCGTTTCCCCTTCAAGTAAACTTCCCTTTTCCTCCAAGCCGAACGAAGCACCAATTCTTTGATTTTATATTCTAGGAAGTAAATCACAATCGATCGGGGATTAGCATTCGGCGGTGGTTTGGGGCCGAGCACCCTGTGACAGCGTTGTATCCCAAGTTCAGTGTCGGAGAGGGCTAGTTCCGTCTTGATGAAACTTTCAATAAACTCCTGTATGTTGTCCCCTTCAGCCTCCTCCGGAATTCCATACAGTCGTATATTGTTTCGTCGAGATCTATCAGTTTTGTTTGCATTTTTTGCTGGATGTCAAGGGTTTGACACAGCACTTCTTTAGCTTCAGTGTTCCATTCTTCCAAATCCGTCACTCTCTGTTTAGCCTCCTCCAATCTACCCATCGTGTCATTCAAATCTGTGGCGATTTCGTTCAGTTTCAGGTTGATGTCTGTTCTGAAATTTGCCAAATCAGATTTCATGTCTCTGGAAAGAATCTCGTGAAAATTGTTTAACTCCGTTTTTACGTCTGATCGGATAGCTTTAATCTCAGCGTATATAGCTTCGATGCTTCTTTGAAAGGTATCCTCTGCTTCGTGCTCGCCTGCGTTGTCTTCATTTTCCGCTGTTTGTTTCTAATTTTTCTCGGGTTTTTGGGATGCTTTGCTTCTAGCCTTTCGTTGCTTCTCCCCCTCCATGTTTACTAGTTAATTTCAAAGAGTATAATGAATTAAATTCGGGGAGAATAACACGTTTGTCTGGGAGCTTTCACTCTACGCTGCCACTTGCCCCAACGCCATACCGGAAGTCACCTCAATTTCCTGCTTCTTAATAGTAAAGTATATGTTAAGTTTAGGTATGGGGTTGGACTAAGGGATCTAAAATATAGGCATGCATAATAAGGCATTGATATGCACTTTATAAGTACTAATAAACAGCCAGTATGCTAGTAACAGGCCCGGATTGGCTAAAAATTGGCTAATTTCACAGAACTAATCGTTGCCTGGGTTGCGTACGTATATGTGGGGCGGAGCTATCAAAATAGGGGCAAGACCCTTTTGGGGTAGGGGCGTGTTTGTTTTGGTGATTTCAAATATCAACATTGGCTACCAGAAATCGCTTACTCTGCCTTTAAGGCATCAAAGAAGCATCCCATATGAAAGCAATAACATAGTCTGTACAGTATTCGCAGGCATACGCCATATGACCACCAGACCATATGAATAACAAACTCTTAATGGATAATTAATCATTCTTTTTGCGCAAATTATTGTTGTATTTGCGAACGTAGCCGTTTGAGGAAGGCTTTAAGACCAAGCGTAATCTGCCGGCTGCTCCCGCTTCACAGCGAGCGCGACTCACGCTCACCGTCCGCGTTTTGGTTTTGGGAAATCAGTTTGGGCGAATGCAAACAACCTATTGATCATGAATCCAACATCCAGCAAGGCAGGAAAACATTCAGTCTACCTGAGGGACGTCTTGCACTATTGTAAGTACCGCTGTTAAATAGAGAAAAAAAATAACATTTTAAAAATGTAGCTAACTTCTAGTGTATATTCTTAAACTTAGTCCTCATTATATTGAAGTACAAAACCAAGCACCAGAAGCAGCCCACACTCTCTAATTTTTCTTTAATAGAAAAAATATGCATTATCATTCATTCATAGGCTATATGGTTGCAATATTATTTTAGTTCAAAAATGTAAGTGCCATTGTTTAAAAAATGCTTTATTGATTGATGTTTCATAGACCTTCAGTTGTTATGCTTTATATTTCATGCCATTTGTATGTATGTAATTTCACAGTATATTCACCTCCTAAATTACTACACTACTTATGCAGTCACTATTCTAGAATGGTACAATTTACTCAATGCATTGAGGTACAAAATTTTTTAGAAAATTTATTCTACATTTCTTTTTAGAATAATCGTACATAAATAGGTTAAGCAAAACAAATGTGATCATTTCTGAGAACTTTTTAACTGCAGGCAGACATACATTATTGTACAGTACAAATATTTTGAGCGTCCCTTATTCTGTCCCTTATTTTCTTATAAAGAATCACAATTGTCCCTTATTTTCCATTTCTGAAGTTAATTGGCAATTATCTGTTGACTCCCCAGACAGCGGCACCTTGCTCAGAAAAAAAAGTGTTGTTGGAGATATGCGAGCAAAAAATTATAGGTAAAAAATGGATAATAGAAAGCGCAAAGAAAAGGCCAGTATAAAAAAACAAAAAAACACGAAAGCTCTAGAAAAATACAATGAATTACAAGGCTGTAGAGAACAGTGCACTATTGCAGACTTTTATACACTGGTTTTAATTACATTATTTTAATAGCTCAGTCGTGAACTAAAGTGGGCCGGTCTAAGGCATGAAACTCCAAGGCTGAAAATGAGTCCCACTCCGGCCCTGGCTAGTAATATGCATTCTAGTTAATAGTGAGAATCGGTCCTTAAAATAAAGTGTTACCCAAAGTTACACTTGTAGATGCAACCAGTCTTTATGAGTGGATCTTCAAGTAATTGAAGATGCAGTCACATTAGTGACACTTTTGCTAATTCCGCAGACAAAAAAGGTTAATTGTTGGTTCTCTACAGTCTAGTGATGTATGAAGCACTTTCAAACCCAGAAGCATTCTGTTGGTCAATGCTGCAAATTAATTTGACCAATTTGAACCTGTTGGGAAATCTTTCACCCTTGTGCGAAATTCCAGATTGCTTGGATTCTCATTGTAATTACTGCATTTTGCATGCAAAAATTGGCCGAACTATGGTAAATGTGACCTCAGCTAAATTATTTTTTTTCAGGAGCAAAACAAATGTGACCCTTGACCACAAAACCAGTCTTAAGTCGCTGGGGGATATTTGTAGCAATAGCCAAAAATACATTGTATGGGTCAAAATGATAGATTTTTCTTTTATGCCAAAAATCATTAGGATATTAAGTAAAGATGTTCCATGAAGATATTTTGTACATTTCCTACTGTAAATATATTAAAACTTAATTTTTGGTTAGTAATATGCATTGCTAAGAACTTCATTTGGACAACTTTAAAGGTGATTTTCTCAATATTTAGATTTTTTTGCCCCCTTAGATTCCAGATTTTCAAATATTTTCCTATCCTAACAAACCATACATCAATGGAAAGCTTATTTATGTGATGTATAAATCTCTATTTCGAAAAATTGACCCTTATGACTGGTTTTGTGGTCCAGGGTCACAAATGGCTTTTTTCAGTGAGTCATTGAATCACTCATTACTGTATGTTTCTCAGATATTTTGTTGGCTGAACAATTAGTTAGTAAGTATTAACTTCTTTTTTATTGTTAACTGTTGTGTAAAAGCAATATCATACTTGCAATCAGGCTGTTGTCCTGAATAAAGGATGAATAGCAAAATTAGTTACAAATAAACATATTTTAAAGCTGCAAAATTGCCCTTTGGAGAATGTAAACAATGTTTGAATGTTCTCTATTTTAAATATAATCTGTCTGCAAAAGTGTTATTGCTACTTTTGCATTCTCAGTTGTGATTAATGTTCTTTGGTTCATCTCTTTAACCATCTATAGCTTGATCCGCGTGCATAAATATTAAAGCCTCAAGCTAGGACTGCACAATTAATCGAATTTCTAATCGCAATTACAATTATGGATGCCACAATTACGTAATCGTTCAAAGTGGCAATTAATCGTTCAAAGTCCACTTATGTTATTCTGCACGCTTAGGGTTTTTCCATTGTATTAGTTTTAGTATAACATTATAATACCATTCATATTTTTACTTTTTTAT